GGTCGAGTAACAAATGGAAAAAAACTTTAAACCGAGTTTACTTACGCTGTGTTACAAACTTCTGTGCGACTGTTTCAAATAAATCCTCAAAAGAAATCACATTTCTGTCAACACCAAATGTCAAAAAAAAAATTTGAATATCATATAAAACACTTGAAAGTACTGGTGAAATGAAACCGACGACAAAATTTTACCTATGTTTAAACAATTTCGCTGTGCTTTTTAATTTATTTTCTCAAGTTCCCACGGAAAATTGTTTTCGGTGTTATTTCAGGCAACTATTTATGTATTTACCTTTTAGAAAATGCAAAAAGGATAGTAGTATACTTAAAATTATTTTGGTCCAAGATTTTTGTCCACTAAAAACTGAAATTAAAATTGCTCGATTTCCTATCGGATCTCGTCTTAATAGTTTTTTCTTCTTTCTTTCATATTCCAATATGGCAATTAAAAATGGGAAATGTACAATTATTTTTTTCGGAACTGACCTTATTTATCGGGTTTTCTTTCGCAGTTCGGAAGTCACAGAGCGAACTGATAATAACATCAAAACTGTACATGGGATTTTAATTAGTTTTCTAGCTGGTTTATTTTCCGATTCATTAGCTGACGGAAACTGCTGGTTCTCATAGCTCACACGTAGCTCCCCGTTGAAAAAAAAAACCGTGCTAGATGAAAGCCAAAAGGGGTTTTTTAATTGCAATTCAGTGATATTAGTTTCGTTTCTTTGTCAAGTACATTCACACACAAAACTTTCGCCAAGAAATAGTGGCTAATTAACAAAGGAAATAGAGAAGAATAAGCAAAATCGGCAAAATGTTGCTCTTTCAAAAATTGCCAAATTAATATATTTATGCTTTTGTCCCATCCCACCATTGGAACATGTGATGAGAGAACTGAAGCATGAACTTCAATCCTTAAAAGCAATTTGTTCATCAGAAAATCAGCTAAACGTTCAACTTCAAGTTCAAAGAAATCACTTCTCACAAAAGCTGAAAACTTGTTCAGTCTGACATTTTGCGAAATCCTCCCAAACTTGGTGGTAAGTTATTTCAGTATTTACTTGTTGTTTACAAATTATTTCTAGCTCCAAATATTATCATATTTTTTAGATGGGTGCAGTAATTTTTGGCACGGTAAATTGGAACACAGTAGAGGGAATACTATCTGTAGTATTTGCATCAGTTCACCATTTACGGTCATATTACGAACTCACAACGTGACCAGCTCCCAGTTGGCTTGATAGCTTAGTTGGTAGAACACTGCACAGGTATCGCAGAGATACTGGGTTCAAAATCCCGTTCATGATTGAATGATTTTTTCAGGCTTTAATTCCACAACTGCTTAGTGAGTTGAGTTGTGTAAATAACTGCGATGATCAATTAATCATGTCTTCATATCTTTCCGCCGTAGTCCAAGTATGTAATCTTCCATATATTCACTTGACAAAGTATATATTTGTGTTGCGTATTAACTCTGTGAAAGATTGTATTCTAGGGAAATTTGATAATTATAAACAAATTAAAAAAGATAATAAAAAAATAAAAAATCAGAAAACACGGACAAGCCCAACTGGAAAACACTGGCAGTGAACTTCAAACAACTTTAGACAACTTTGGAATGTAAAATCTGATTTAAATTTAACCTACGGCCACAATTTTTATATCCGTAGAAATTTACCTTAGTCAAATATATATACACTGACCTTGTAAAGATAGGAAAACGTTGTCACTTTTACTTTCAAACTTACATTCCTTTACGAAACCACAGCAGGTATGTGCTGTGTCTTAAATCAACTTTGATCAACCTCTGAACTTTACACATCAAGCAATTTAACCTCAGTTCCTAAGAACTGATGATAATGCTTTTTATTTCGCGATTTCAAATTTCGTCAATCTTTTTATTTTACTTTAAGTGACGCTTGTAGATCCATCAAAAATCCATCGAAAATTTATTTTTTCAGCTATTTTGTCTTGTCTCCTGTTCTCTTGTCATTGCGAGGGCTCGTGCTAGGATGGATTTTTGGAGTAATATAAAGTTTAATATCTGTCTGGAATTCGACAAATAAATAGCAACCGGTCAATCGCTGACCTCAGAGCAGAGGGGGAATATCTGAGATATTTTTCAAACAGCCTGTATGGGAAAAGAGTTGACCAACGTGCTAGTTGCTAACCTGTCGTATTTCCAAGTGTTGTTGACTTCTGACCTGTCTTTTGTGTTGTATTTTAAGGTGAGACCCCAGTTTTGAGGATGGTCATTTTTGCCCTTTTGTGGGGAATTCTGTTGGTTCAAATTTCAAGAGCTCAAGACGAAAATTCCGGCGAAAGTGAGCCGATCAGTTTTGACAACTTCTGCACCCACTTCGATGAACTTCGCTCCACAGGTTCTATGACTAACGTCCTGAGAGATCTCGAGAGCATTCGTGAGCAGCTTCTAGCAAACGGTGTTGTACCTGAAAGTGGAGCCGTCGATGCCGTTGAGGAAGTATGCCGTGATCCCTCAAAGTTTTTTGACACAGAATGCTTGTACAGAAACCGCTACCTGATGACCATACCAAATTCTGATTTCTTACGCCTTCACGATGCCACATTACGAGGATTTTATGTAGATCTTTTCCTGTTACACCCTGTGTTTCGAAGCTGTCTGCCCACTCTGAACAAAGACGTGAAAAGCAACGATGTAAAAGGAAGGCTGGCGAAAGGATTAGCAGGGGACAGGCCACAAGATTTTGCTGCCCTTTTTGATAAGAGAAAGGGAAGATTCCTCAGGAAAGAGATAAAAAATTCGTGTGAAGAAAAAGACGGCGACGAAATATTCTGTGCATCTTTACCTGACATTGTTAAACTGGTTGATACCTTCGAAAGAGTTCGGAGGGAGAGCAGAACAGGTGTCAAGTGGAATGCCTTTCGCTTGCACTTTGTGATGTTAAAGCATAACAACCCAGACGAATTCCAGCAAGTATACCCCACAACGACTGAAGAGCTCAATAACCTCCTTGTGAAGAACTTAGAACAAATCTTTAAATACGTTGGCAAGGGCCAGTTTGCTGAATTCTCAGAAATGATGTCTTTTGTACCAGATTTAGAGACCATTAAATCGGGTTGCGAAACGTCATGGAACCTTCCAAGCAACACAAAAAAGAATGCCTGCATGTTCTGGAAAGCCATCATTCAGGTAAGCGCTTATATTCAATCAACAAAACCTCCAGCGAGCGGGCAGGTCAAGAAGATACTGAATACCAGGATTGATTATCCCACCTTTTTACGTCTTACGGAAATGGATAGAATTCTAGAAGTTGTCCAAAATCAAGAGACTGCGATCACCGAACTTGTCGAATGGCTGAACAGGGAGCTGACCAAGACAGTCAACGAGAGATTCAAAGGTCTCCGTACTTATTTCGAAAAGGTGGAATCTTTCAACAGAGAGAAAGCTGGTGCTGACATTGGCTATATAAACGGCCGGTTGTCCAAGTACACCAACAATATCAACTCACTGAGTACTACGCTTGGAGGCAAACTCAATAAAATTATAGAACTCGCTATTGCAGCAGTTTCTTTGGAAATCGCCGAGGACACCATCCAGGTAGGATTGGCAGCCGCTGTTCTAATGAACCCACTTGAAAAGCTATTTGGTGGCTCGAGTGCTGGAGATTTCATAGATCGTTCAGCGAAATTGGCGTCAACACTGACTAGAGTAGGAGAACTGGTCCGGATGTCGAAAACGTTTGGTGAACTCAAGGACAAGACAATAAGCATTTCAAGCAGGTTTAAAGAGAACAGCGAGTTTCTGGAAAATATACGAGTCTTGATTACCAGTGAAGGACAAGATAAGTCGACGACCGATTTTGAAACTCGGAAACAAAAATTTCTTACTGATTACGGATGTTATGATCCCAAAGTTGAGAAACCAGAGTTGACTGGTATGACAACAACATGGGAAAATTTAATTGATGCCGCTTGTGATGTGATAACCGATCAATCAACGGCCTTGGCTCAGACAACTGTGGCATGGGTGCGGTCCTCTGGCTTATGCTCAAAAACAAAAGTTCTTGCACAAGAAATGATTGCGACATATGAAGAGATATATGACTTTCAGTTTGAACTGGTTGAAGCCATGGCGACGTACATGAGAGCGGAGACGTCTCTAGATGCTGCAGCCAGCATAACGGCTGGTTATGAAGAGAGTTCCGCCCAGGGAGAGCAAGATGAAAGCGTTGTGCACGACCTAAAAGTCCTGACTATGGTCTCATTTATCTCTTACAAAACCAATATCTGGCAAATCACCGAAGCATATTGTGACGTCTTGGAGTACAAGGAAGGTGGAGTGCGACCCAGTGTGTGCCAAGGCGTAAACACTAACATTGCAAACCTTGTTGCCCATGTCAGTCCATTATGCAGGAATGTAGAGGAATACCAAGATGTCCCAACCACATCAGAAAGCGACCAGGCTTTTATGGATATCGCTGATCTTTATTCTGGCAAACGTGTTATATTCAAGATACCCAACAGTCAATGGCTGGTTGATAAGGGATGGATTAGCCAACAGGATAAAGAAGCGGCTATCTTCGTGAAGAAATTTGAGGTATATGTACCAACTGTTAGCGTCACTGAACGCAGGGTTCGAGTTCAAGCTGCAATCACAGGGATGAACCAGCTCACACTGCCAGATGGAAAAAGCTACGCTATCGTCCCAGAGAGGAACTTCATTTTTGAATACCTTGAAGGCCATGGTGCCCAACCTTGCAGAAAAGAAAGCGAGGCATTGAGCAATCCCTACGGAGCAGATAAACCTAAGATCTGCCCCTTGAATGTGGATGAAAACAACTGTCAGGAACTTCTGGAGAAGACACCTTTGTTCCCATCGGTCTACTCACATTGGAAAGTTTCTTTACTTGGTTACGAAGCAGCAACCGTCCCAGACCCTGCAACTGTCTTGAACCTGAAAGTTGGAATGAGGCTCTGCATCTTGGACCGCGGCTCGATGCGGGCCAAGAAGACAAAGGTCAAAAAGTTTAAGAACAGGGCTAAAAAGAAGCACCGAGATAGGACCAGCTGTCCTGAGGGTCAATACTGGGCAGCAGGGTCTGGTGCCTGCACCACTTGCCCTGAAGGATCCAAATCCGTTCTCGATGGCTACTATTGTGAGAAGATTCGAAAGAAGAACTAAGACGATTTCAGGAAGTAATCGACCGTCACCATGGCAAAAGTTCCAATACAGAATTAGATTTCAAGTCAAAGATTTGTAGATGATTTTGGAACTGAATAAAAACTTTAATTCCTCATCATAGAATCCTACAGTTTGTTTGTCTTTCTACAGATGTATTGAACATAAAATTCTTTTTTATCGTCATGTTTCAGTTGGATCTGGTTTACGCAAATACCGAACGGATGTTGGTATGTTATGTAACTATGGCGAAATATTTTGGTTATTTACCGAGCGTGATTCCAAGGAGGGTTGTCTAGTACACGTACGCACAAAGAGAAAACGTGGTCAAAATCCTACAGCCGTGTTGGTCACGTTTTATTCATTCACAGCGCAAAATTGAAGTCTTTTTTTCGACCCTGAAAAACTGACCTTTTCCATTAGCTCAGAGCATAAAACTACACAATAGCGCTCTGGTTCTTATTCCCAGCCTTATTCCCTGCAATCGCTGTGAGAAATCCGTAAGAGAATTTCGCAACTCTCACCTATTGATCACGCAACATAACAACATCCACGCGAGAACCCACGACATGTGCGCGGATCCACGCGGATATACGTCATCAGGGTGGCGCAATTTGTTCTAAAAATAGCAAAATTGTCCCATATCATAGGTGCGTGTGGATCTCAAGACTTACGGTCTCCGTCCCTGATTACGGCTCCTGGCTTGACTGAGGTTCGGATTTTCTCGCTTTTGTCGGTATCGGCGGTACGCGTATTAAAATCGTTACAAATGCTAATAAATCAGACAACGCCAATCCTGCGTAGGAAAAAAGATGGTGACTGGTACGTTTACCCAGATTTCTTTGCCCACGAAATCTTTAACAACGCCAGGAGCCATAATAATAGTCCTCGATTATGGCTCCTGACAACGCCCATAAAAACGTAGAGAAAAGTTGTAAAATCTTCAAACCTAGCAAACACAATGTCGTTAGCTAGCACAGCGACAAATATTATTAAAATATGGCTCTCCTTGTACGTTATTGGTTGTGTAAGGCTCGAATGGTGTTGCGGTAAAATGTACATCCGAAACCTTTTGTCCTATGGGCAATAAACTGAAGAATGCGC